GCTGACCCGGGGGGACCCCCGGGGGGTGGAGGAGGATGCGGATGCTGGGACGGGGTGGCGGCCTGAAGGCGGGCTGCGTGCGGAGCTGCGAACCCGTGCGTGGTCCAGCTCACGGAGCTGCAGTCGCATTTTTTTTTTTTTTGATCAGCACAGAGTTGGGGAAAAACTTCCTGAATCTGTCGCCGGAATTTTTTAATTGGGAGATTTTCGCAGAAAACAACATTTTCCCCCTAGAAAGTGGATTTGTGCATTTCTGTATAAAACATTTATGTATTTCTCTCTATAAAATGATTCTTTAAGTATAAATACAGATATGATGTAGTAGTATATATACGTTTAAAATGGGAGATATTCCCCCTGAATTCCCGTATGACAGCTCTTGGCTGGAGCTGGGTGGCTGCCCCCTCGGATGGGGCGCGAGTTCTCTTAATTGGCCACAGTTCACACCACTCCCTGTTGTGATCCCCCACGGAGGCGAGGTGTCACCTGACAGTTAACATTTAAAAATAATATTTTTATTGATTTTAGAGAGAGAGAGGAAGGGAGGGGGGAAAGAGATAGAAACATCAGTGATGAGAGAGAATCATTGATGGGCTGCCTCCTGCACGCCCCACACTGGGAATCGCCTGCAAAACCTGGGCTTGTGCCCTGACCAGGAATTGAACCGTGACCTCCTGGTTCAGTGGTCCACGCTCAACCACCGAACCACACCGGTCGGGTGCCATTTATCATATTTTTGATAGTGCTTCCTTTTGGTGAAGTTAGGGGAAAAGTGAAGTATTCTTATATTTAGATTTCTATCACACTCAGAAATATATGGATAAAAGCAGGCTGAGGATTTCAAGAAAAATTATTTTTAAAAAATATGTTTATTGATTTCAGAGAGGAAGGCAGGAGAGAGAGATAGAAACATCAATGATGAGAAAGAATCATTGATCGGCTGCCTCCTGCACGCGCCCCCCCCCCTCCCCCCCCCGCCAGGGGATTGAGCCCGCAACCCAGGTATGTGCCCTTGGCCGGAATCGAACCTGGGACCCTTCAGTCCGCAGGCTGACGCTCTATCCACTGAGCCAAGCTGGCCAGGGCAGAAATTTTTTTTCTCATGCCCTGACTCGCTTCATTCTTTTATTACCTGCCTGGTGTCCACAGGCATTTACATGTGACCTTGGTTGGACTCAGCGATGAGCATGACAAGCTCAGAGCACATTGAGGAGAACGGGTGGAAGCTGGGGATTTAATGCTGGGGTCTGTGTCGTTTTGTGTTGTTTAGATACATAAATTATGTTTGTACAGATACATGCATTCTCTATGTCTATGTACCTGGAGTTGATGCAGTTTCTCACCCAGTACATGACTCCCCTTTAAAACATCCTTGAAGCCATTAGTAAGGTACAGACTCTTTTTTGGTTTTTGGTTCTAATACTAGAGGCCAGGTGCACGAAATTCGTGCACTGAGGCGGGGGGCTGTCCCTCAGCCCAGTCTGTGCCCTCTTGCAGTCCGGGACCCCTTGCTTCTTACCGCCCGCCTGCCCCCTGCTCCTTAGTGCTGTCATGGAGGTGGGAGAGGCTCCTGCCCCCGCCGCTGCGCTCGCCGGGAGAGGCTCCTGCCACCACTGCTTCACTTGCCAGCCATGAGCTCGGCTTCCGGATGAGCTGCGGGAATAAACTGACCACCTTAGGGGCAGCTCCTGTGTTGAGTGTTGGCCTCCTGGTAGTCAGTGAGCATCATAGTGACTGGTCGTTCCACGGTAACAGTCACTTAGGCTTTTATTATATAGATATTTTTATTGATTTCAGAGAGGAAGGGAGAGAGAGTAAGACAGAAACATCAATGATGAGTGAGAATCATTGATCGGCTGCCTCCTGCACACCCCCAACTGGGGATCGAGCCCGCAACCTGGGCATGTGCCCTTGACCAGAATTGAACTTGGGACCCTTCAGTCTGCAGTCTGATGCTCTGTCCTCTGAGCCAAACCAGCTAGGGCCAGACTTTTTTACAGGCAAAATTTTTACAGATCTTCAGTGTTCACTTAAGTGAATTTGATGATGTCACTCAAAAATGTTCAAACATAAACCTGTATATAATGCTCTTTGCTTATAGCTGTGATACACCAGAGACAGGATTTGGGAGTTGATCCTAAGAACAGTGGAGAGTCATCGAAGGGGTTGAACCAGTGGAGCTTTGCATTTTCAAAGAATGCCTCCAGCTCCAGAATGGTGGATAGAACCGAGGAGCAGGTGGCAGAGAAACTGGAGGTTGTGATACTATTCTAGGAGGTGTGCCAGTGGCATTGACTGGATGGCAGCAAAGGGAGGCAGAGGGGTGAACAGATTGATACTTAGGAGGTTGAAAGGACAGCTTTAGTGAATTTACGAGGAGGGTGAGGGAGAGGGAGGACTCGAGGATGAGCCCAGCTTTCAGACTTGAGCCATTTTAGGGTCTCCTCCGTTAAGAGGGGGAGCACTGGCAAGAGCAAGGTGGGAGCAGACTCCTCAGTGTCAAGAGATGCTGAGTTTGATGCCTGGCCAGTGTGGCTCAGTGGTTGAACGTCAACCCATGAGCCAGAAGGTCACAGTTCGATTCCCAGTTGGGGCACATGCCTGGGTTGCAGGCTTGATCTCCAGTATGGGTTGTGGACTGAAGGGTCCCAGGTTCGATTCCGGTCAAGGGCATGTACCTGGGTTGCGGGCACATCCCCAGTGGGGGTGTGCAGGAGGCAGCTGATCGATGTTTCTCTCTCATCGATGTTTCTAACTCTGTATCCCTCTCCCTTCCTCGCTGCAAAAAATCAATAAAGTATATTTTAAAAAATAAAAAAAAAGAGAGATGCTGAGTTGAAGGTGCTGTGAGGCGCGTGAGTAGTGATGGTCCAGCTACGTGGTCCTGGGGCTCAGGAGGGAAGCCCTGGCTGGTGATACAAACGTGGGAATCTTTGGTGTGTAGCTGCAAGAGTAGCTTCAGTTGCTGGGGAAGAATTTCTAGGACAGATCTTGCAAATTGGTGGCCTAAGTTCTAATTTGGCCGCCTGACATGTTTTTAATTTGGTTGGGGTGCCCAAATGTGTGTGTGTGTGTGTGTTTTGTTTTGGTTTGGTTTTTTTTTCTTTCTTTCAAAATTAGGGCCAACAATGAATATTGAGATTTTACATTAAAATATGGACTCTGGCCCGGCTAGTGTGGCTCAGTGGTTTAGTATCTACCTATAAACCAGGAGGTCTCAGTTCAGTTCCCAGTGAGGGCTCATACCCAGGTTGCGGGTTCAGTCCCCGGTGGGGAGACGTGCAGGAGGCAGCTGATCCATGATTCTCTCTCATCATTGGTGTTTCTGTCTCTTCTCCCTTACTCTTTGAAATCAATAAAAAGAAAGGAAGGAAGGAAGGAAGGGAGAGAGAGAAAGAGAGAGAGAGAGAAAGAGAGAGAGAGAGAGAGAGAGAGAGAGAGAGAGAGAGAGAGAGAGAGAGAAAGAAGAAAGAAAGAAAAGCAGTATGTAAAAAAAAAATATGGACTTTGGCCTCTTGAAAAATGAGATTTATCTAACAACACTGCTGCCTTGCAGAAATGGCAGCAGTTACCTGGAGCCGAATAGTGGCTGGCCCTATTAGATAGGACGTGCGTGTGTTCTTCACTTTGCCACAGTCCCCACCACTCCCTATGGTGTTCCTCACAGGGATTCCAGCCCACTTCGCTTAGTTATCTTCCATGCTTGGCACCTATAGGCATTTGAGTTCGTGACCCCTGCTTTAGAGTGAGATGCAAAGAGAGCCTAGGAGGAGCCCAAGGAGCTCCACCATTTAAAGGGGATGAGGAGGAGGCGCCAGCAGAGAAGACTGAAGAGCCACTAGACAGAAAAGCAAGGAGGGTGACTGCTAGGAGGAGAAAATGTCAACAAGCCCAGCCCAGGGCTGCTGACTCGATCTGACATGATAAGGACATGTCCTTTGGTCTGCTAGTCACGTAGAGGTCACCGGTAACCTTGGTGAGAGGCACTACATTGGCTGCGAGGGAGGTTGTCAGGCATTGAGGGATGAATGGGAGCAAAATGGAGACAGGCTTGGGAACTTGTTCCAGAAGGTTCAGCGTTGAAGGACAACTCGTAGTATTGAGAAACCACAGGATAAACGCGGCATGTCAACCCGGAGCGTTAATTAGGCTTGAATATTTGTAAGAAAGATTATTTTTAGATTAAAAATAGACCGAGGAGACTACAAAGACTGGGTTTGGGCTAAGAATTGAACATTATCTTTTGCTAGGCAGTGTACTGATCCCTTTACATTCCTTATCTCGTGTAGTCCTCACGACCCTATGGAATACGTTTCTAGAATGTTCTTTATTTTGCAGACGAGCAAGTTAAGGCTTGAGAGGTAAGGTTGCATGGCTGGTAAGTGGTAGAGCTGGGGTTTGAAACTGGCTATCACACTGAATGTCTGTATATTAACTACTTTAGAGGCATTTGTTGAAGACACTTTCCTTTCCCTATTGTATTTTTATGACACTTTTTGTTAAAAGCAACTGGCCATATATGTGTGAGTATATTTTTTGGACTCTCTCTTTTGTTCTGTTGATTTCTCTATCTCTTTTTTTTTTTTTTCACAATAATGCACTGCCTAGATTACTGTACCTTTATAGTGAGTCTGGAAATGAAACAACTCGAGGTCTCCAACTTTGCTCTTTTAAAAAATTGCTTAGGCTATTCTAGGTTGTCCACACGTCCATACGTTTTAGAATTATCTTGTCAATTTCTGTAGCAAGGCCTGCTGGGATTTTGTTGGGGATTGTGTTGACTATTAAGATACTTTTTCAAAAAGGCGTTAGTGCGGGTTGGATCTCATTTTATAGACCATGAAGGAAATGCCACTGAAGTGTGACTATAGTCTAAAGGTGGCTGACTCTAGTTACAGGGTAAGGCCGGTGAGGGAATTGAGTGGAAGCAGGCAGCTAGGTTTGGACCAACACGATCATTTCTAGGTCAAGGTCAAAAGCAGGAATGACATGAGAAATAGTAGCTGATCTCAGGCTGCAGGAGGAATAATAGGGAACAATGAGGATGGGGCGGTCACTTCTCTGCTCCATGCATTTGCCTTGCAAGAATATGGGCTCAGTATTGTCTGATCTCAGTGAGGAGAAGCTGGAAATCCAGACTTTTATGCAGTCTTCCAATTTTTAAAATTAAAATTTCATTTTTTTAAAATTATTTTTTAAATCCTCATCTGAGGATATTTTTCCATTGATTTTTAGAGAGAGTAGAAGAGAGGGGAGAGACAGAGAGAAATATCCATGTGAGAGAAACACATCGATTGGTTGCCTCCTGCAAGTGCCCTGACCAGGGCTCGGGCCAGGGAGGAGCCTGCAACCGAGGTACGTGCCCTTGACCCGAATGGAACCCGGACCCTTCGGTCCACAGGCTGACGCTGCATCCACTGAGCCAAACCGGCTCGGGCAAAAATTTCCCTCTCCCTTTCTCTTTGTAAAAAATTAATAAAATATATTTTTTTAAAAAATTAAAATTTTGAACTTTGAGTGGTTCAAAGTCATGTGGGTCAAACAGAACTCTCTAGGCCTGCTAGTCCGTGACCTCTGCTTCAGACTAATCATTCTTTGGTTCTCATTTGCATCATCGGTGAGCTGTCAGGACAGTGTCTCAGACAGCCTGTAAGGTTCTTTCTGGTTCAATGGTTCTACCTCTCAAAAGAGGAAAATACCAAAATTGCTCAAGGGTGCAGGGGTAGTTGAGAATATCAGCGATAATGATATCATGGGAAGCTGCCCAGAGCTTTACATTTTGCATACCACTGTCATGCCTCGTCTTTCTTTTAATCCTTACAGCGTCTCTGTGAAATAGACAGCAGAGTAATTAGCCCAGCCGCATGGTAGCTCCAGGTTACACAGTCAGGTCCTCTAATTCCAAGTCCAGAGCTCTTCCCAGCCTCGTGCAGCGGCCTCTGAAGGCCCTAGAAATAGGCGCTTTGGGAGGGGGAGCAGATGAGGGAGACTGAGCAGGTCTTCGGCTCAGCAGGCCGAGGTCTAGCTAGATGTAGAACTTAGCTTGGTTGAAGCGTCAAGGCTTTGGGGTCAGAGTGGAAGCCTTTGTGAGAACTCTCTGAAGGCAGGCACTTTGGTACGTGGTCAGATTCATAGACCAGTGCCTGGCACAGCACCTGACACACGGCGTGGCTCAGTGGTTGAGCATCGACCTATGAACCAGGAGGTCACGGTTCGATTCCCCATCAGGGCACATGCCCGGGTTGTGGGCTCGATTCCCAGTGGGGGATGTGCAGGAGGCAGCCAGTCCATGATTCTTTCTCATCATTGATGTTTCTCTCTCTCTCCCTCTCTGAAATCAATAATAATATATATTTAAACACACACACACACACACACATTTTATTGATTTCAGGGAGGAAGAGAGAGAGAAACACATCAGTGGTGAGAGGGAATCATTGATTGGCTGCCTCCTGCACGTCTCCTATTGGGGATCAGACTTGCAAACCCGGGCATGTGCCCTTGACTGGAATCGAACCAGGGACCCTTCAGTCCGCCGGCAGACACTTTATCCACCGAGCCAAACCAGCTAAGGCAAAATATATATATTTTTAAAAAGTTTGTGTGTAAGTGAACAAATGGATGGGTTGATGGAAGAAGGAATCAAAGACTCTAGATCAAGAAGGGTGAGAATTCTGTCTAGAGAATTTCAAGGACAGAGTAGTCAAGTGCTTTTGGTAAGAGCTTTGAGAATGTTAAGATCAAAAGCTGAGACTTTATTCTTATAACTCAGCTGATCGATGGGAAAGCTCACCATGTCCTCTTCCTCTCATTTGACTCTCAGATCTGGGTTTGGTTAATAGGTCATAACCGTCTCCCAGGCAAGTATGTTTGAGAAATAAAATTCTGCAGGTCAAACAGAACTTAAGGAAAGTAAACCGGCCAAAAGGTTTATAACTTCCAAATAGATGCAAGTCCTTATCTTTTGGAGGGGCCTGTTGAAATATGGAATATGATTCCCGGGATTTCTCTTAGTGGACTGCTGTGGGCAGTGGAGGAGGTAAAGATGGATCAAGGTTAGACATGAGTTGGGAACATTGTTGAAGCTGGGAGATGGCTAGATGGGATTTCATCATGCTTATGTCTACTTTGCCTATATTTGAAACTTTTCATAATAAATGGAAAAACAAAAAATCAGAGAGCTTTATGGGCTCAGCAATGCTTTTGGTTAACCAAACTTCACTTTTCTCTAAGCTTGTAAGCAGTAGCAAAATTGAGAGAGAAATGAAAAAAAAAGAAAAAAAAAAGAAAAGAATTTGGCAGAAATAAGAAAGAATATGGGTTGCCCTAGCCCCGTGGTCAGCAACCTGCGGCTCGCGAGCCACATGTGGCTCTTTGGCCCCTTGACTGTGGCTCTTCCTAAGCCTTAGGAGGACCCTAATTAAGTTAATAACAATGTACCTACCTATATAGTTTATGTTTAAAAAATGTGGCTCTCAAAAGAAATTTCTTTTTTTTTTTAAATATATATTTTATTGATTTTTTACAGAGAGAAAGGGAGAGGGATTAATAGTCAGAACCATCGATGAGAGAGAAACATCAATCAGCTGCCTCTTGCACACCCCCTACTGGGGATGTGCCCGCAACCAAGGTACATGCCCTTGACCAGAATCGAACCCGGGACCCTTCAGTCCGTAGGCCGACGCTCTATCCACTGAGCCAAACCGGTCAGGGCTCAAAAGAAATTTCAATCGTCGTACTGTTGATGTTTGGCTCTGTTGACTAATGAGTTTGCCGACCACTGCCCTAGCCGGTTTGGCTCACTGGATAGAGTGTCAGCTTGCAGACTGAAGGGTCCCGAGGTCGATTCCCATCAGGGGCACATGCCTGGGTTGTGGGCTCGGTCCTCAGTGGGGGGCGTGCAGGAGGCAGCCGGTCGGTGATTCTCTCTCCTCGATGTTTCTGTCTCTCTCTTCCTCTCCCTTTCTCTCTGAAATCACTAAAAATATATTTTAAAAAAGAAAAAGAAAAGAAAGAATAGGATTTTTAGTCAGACCTCCATAGCTCGGCTTCCTGCAGCTTTATGACCTTGCATAAGCCTCTGAACTTCCCTAAGTCTAGGTCTCCAGGTCTAAACGCAGCCTCCCTGGGTGGCGGCGGCGAGGGTTAGAGATGAAGTGGGCAGTGGAGACTCAGATCTGGTAGTTTCTTTTTAGACAAAG